CTGTCAGTCAACAGTGTGACAGGGTCTGTCCTTAAACGTTATGCTGGACAAGGTAGTTCGGGTCAGATGCCATAAATGATGTAGGTAAGAAAAAGGGAAATAAGACGAGAGGGGTTTAAAGTTGAATGTTGTCGCCACCTAGTGGTTTAATCGTGAATGAAATCCGTAAAACGTGGTTTGAATCAGTCTCATGATGCAAAAAAACGAAGCTCTCAGTCTAACTAAATACATAAACTGCCCTTTCACTATGTAAGGAAACGATCTTTTTATCCTTTTATACGTTTCTCAAGTGCAAAATATTAAAAAGCGTCATTATCGTGAATTAAATCCGTAAAACGTGGTTTGAATCAGCATCTCATGATGCAACAAAAAGAAGTTCTCAGTCTAACTAAATAAATAAACGTCCTTTAACTATGTGGGGAAACGATCCCCTTTATCCTCTTCTATGTTTCTTAAATGCAAAATATTAAAAAGCGTCAATATTGTGAATGAAATCCGTAAAACGTGGTTTGAATAAATTATGACGCAACAAAACGAGGCTCTCAGTCTAACAGAAATAAATAAACTGCCTTTAACCCATTTGCTCCGGGGTTTTCTCTGGGTTTTTTCCCACTATGTGGGGAAACGATCCCCTTTATCCTCTTCTACGTTTCTTAAATGCAAAATATTTTAAATAGCGTCATCATACAGAATATTCCACACAATTTTAAGGCATCTGTGTGGATGCAGACACGTTTCTAAGTTGGACGGGTACACAAGATGGAGCAACATGGCCACGAGGTCAAAGTTCAAGAGGTTAAAGATTTGTTTAATGAACACACAGATGGACAAAGAGGAAAATGACGACAGATGTAAATTAGCGACTATGCTAGAATCTGGCTCATTTACAATCTGTACTGAAGTGCAAGATTGTTTATTAATGAGCACTGTCCTGATTAAATAAATGAATAAATAAATGAATAAAAAAAGAAGACTTTTTTAAGCTTCCCGTTGGCCAGTGGCTGGACAGGTTTATTCCAGAGATGGAGACCATCCTCCTCCTTTGGGCATGTTTCTAAAAGCAGAAAAAACCCCCAGAGGAAATGGGTTGAGAGGTCATGCCTTATCCATCTCCTTACATAAACAAGGCGTGGAGTTGTCAGTCCAGGAAGCGGGCAGATCCCATTGGTAAAAACCCGGAGAAGCCCACTCCTTCTTCATTAGCTCCAATTAGGCTTTTTATGAATGAAGGGCTCTGTCCGGTGATCTAATCGGATGCCTGACTGCAATTAGCCTCAAATAAATCATGTTAGCATGTCTGAATGGCTAACGCGGGCTATTAAAGGTCACATAGCAACCGCGGCCCACCATTTAGCAGAGTATACAAAGCTGGGTGGGAAGCTTTTGGCTTTCGACAGGAGCGATTGTCACATCAGGGCTGATTTATAACTCATGAAAACAGTCCTGCTAACAGCAACTCGCACATTTAGTGTAGTTATAACAAAAAAATAACACGGACAAACAGCAGAATGATCTAAACCTGTAAAAAACCAGCACCCTTAAGGGTAAGAGAACAATATCTATATTTTATCTACAACTCATGGCATGTAAGGGGAGCACCTTATATCTTAAACACAAATGGGAAAAAGAGTTAGAAATTGATATTTCAGAAGAAGACTGGTCCCACATCATCACATACATGGAGAGAACATTGTTGGAAAAACATTATATGTTTTTTTATCACAAATAAACCCTGTTGTGGAAAATGTGAGACGAATGGGAACCGTGCTGATGTTTTTTGGCTTTGCCCTGGTTTGGTTGCATTTTGGGAAAATGTGCATTGTATTATTTTTGCCATATTTGGCTAACAGATACCCAAAAACATTCACAGTGTTGTATCTTGGAAATATTGTGTGTAAATCTGACCTGTTTAAAATCCTGATCGCTGCCAGTAAAAAAAAGTCCCAAAAAAAGGTGCAAAAAAAAAAACCCTGACAAAGAGGACTGGCTGGAAATTATTCAGGACATATATGAGGACTTGACCCACAGAATAAGACTAAAGATGGACTCCTGTGTGGGAAAATGGACAAATTTATTTGATTATTTACATTACAGTGACTAATTGAACATATGAGTGATATCCCAATCCGGACAGGAAATAGTTTTGTTTATGTTGTGTGTTTGTTTCTGTTTTTTACCCTCCTTTTTTCTTTTTAACACCTTGTAATTGTTAACAAAGAAAAATAAATATAAAAAAACAGCACCTTTAATCAGAAGTTACAGGTGGCATATTTAACGCATCTGGAAGAAGAGGGTTAAGAAAAATGCTTTTTTTCATCTTTCTGAAGTGATCTGAACCAAATGAGTGGGAGCACATTAAAACTGATGCTACTTTCCTCTGTTCACAAACACACACACACACACACACACACACACACACACACACACACACACGCACACACACACACATATGCACACACTTTGTCCTGCTATCGTCCAGTGTGGGGACAGTGCCACACAGTGGCAGGAGACGTCCACTAGAGTCCAGCACAGACAAAGGAACTTAATTTGGGTCCAAAGTTCCCCATTTTAATAGGTTTTGTATTTGTACAATAATAGTGGTTTTATTAGGTTCCTAAAAACGTAGCGAAAAGGGCTTTTAGGATGGACTAAACAGGTAAACGTGCAAAGTTTGTGAAGACAAATGCTTTGAATAGCTGGTTTTAGTTTAAAAAAGCCTATAATGTACATCTGCTGTGGCCAGTTAGTTGAGTTTGGGTGTTTTTTGGATAGAAATCCCCTCACGAAACAAAGAATTCTCCATTCAGGGGAGTTATTTTAGTTTGTAATCATTAGGTTGTGCGTTACGGTGCCTTGAAAGTTTTCCACACAAACTGTACTCTGAGAAACATCGTTTAATTGGTATTATGCTTAAATTGTGAGCACCCACTGTATCACGTCCTGAGCTCACGTATCAGGTCAGATTGTACTTTTTAGTTTTATATTTTCTGTTCTATATTTTTATTTTAAATTGTATTTCCTTGCTTCTAATAGAATTGTTGTGCAACAAACACCAAGGCAAATTCCTATTAAGTCTAAAAACCTACTTGGCAATAAACCTTACATTCTGATTCTGATTCTGAAGGGTCCCACTTTTTATTTTCCCAGATCTGCTCCTCTCAGCTCCCTATCAGGTGTCTGAATAGGGGCTTAAAAGGAATAAAAAAGCTGTAAAAGCCCTGAAAACAGAGCCAGAATGTAATGTTTTTTTCTTTCTTTGGATTTTTGAAGAGCTTAGAAACACAAATATGTGTCGAATATAAAACAAGGACTTGAAATATTACCACATATTCATGTTTAAATGAGTAAACCCTTAATATTTTTTATCCTTAAATACAATCAGACTACAATAAACCTGAATTTGAAACAAATTCTATATGGTTTCTGTCCGTTTTTCACTCATCGCTTTGGTCTAAAGTCGTGAGGTTGTGGAGCCCAGGGGTCAAAGGTCATTCCGATCAAAGGTTATAAAGAAAACTGGTTCGGAGATGCATCACAGGGCTCACTTTTGGTTTTTAGATTTCCCTCTCGTCTGATCAATAAATCGTTTTGAGGGGGATCTTCAT